AGATAACGATTGACATTGCATTTAAATTTTTGAAGGTTAATATTGATTGGAAAGTGTAGAGCCAGAAGAGATTTCAATACGCGAGAAAAGAAACTGTTAGCATAAAACTTATGGTTACAAAATGGTGTATTGGTTAACAAGATTGTCCCACTAGATCAATTATGATTGATTCATGAGTTCAACCCTCACTAGGGGCTCCATACATGTGGACTTGGGCCACATCTAAGCTGTACTTAGTAAATCCATACTCACTCACAAAGACATATACTCCAGTTCAAAAGTTTGAGGCCACTCCTGGTAATTTTTTAAATTGGCCCCAAAAGTAGTTGTTTTGTACTTTAAATAAGAGAAAATTATTATACATTGTTAAAAATAAGTGAGACATGATTTTTTATTAGAAAGAAAGTATTTTATGATTAAATTTCACTCTCATTAAAATTCCCCCCTTTAGCCTTGATTAATGCAGCACAAATATTTGGCATTCATTGCAAAAGTTTCTCAAAAGTTTGACAATTGATTCCATTTTTTTTTTCAATGACTGTGAGAGCTCTTTTTCATTTTTTTTCACTCTCCTATCAAGTTCATCCCATGCTAATTCTGGGGGTGGCTTCAAACTTTTGAACTGTAGTGTAAATGTATTCTTTCATATATATATATATATATATATATATATATATATATATATATATATATATATATATGAACGTTCGTCTTTTCTGCATCTCTAGGAATCAGGAATTTATTTTAAACATTCCTGATTTTTAATTCTTCTTTATCTTAGCATAGTTAATCTACTTCAATTCTTTCTCTCAATGAACCCAGGCTATGGGATTTATTGCTAACAACAGATTATAAATAAGTAAATTTACAGATGCGCAAATATATATACTGGGTGTAATGGCAAAATTGTCCAATTGTTAGACTAAGCTCTGAACTGATGCAAATGATTAAAGATATTTTACTGGAATTCGCTGAAGTTTTTATAACACTATTGGACTCTTCTTTGAGTGACAAGAATGTATAATTACTCACCAAGCTTAACAGAAGAGATTGATCATAATTGAAAATGACATATTCATCACTAATTAATCATAGATGAGGATTGGAAGCTCATGAAGAATTGATATAAAGTTCAAATATATATATATATATATATATTATTTCAGGATCATTTTCCAACTTGTTCAAGATGATCTTTACCCTCTAACCTTCTGTCCTGGAGTAACAACAGGCATCAGATGTTTCACATATGATTTCATTTTCAAGTTTTTCACTGCTCTTTGGACTGTCATAGCTGAAACTCCTCTTTTACATGCCAAAGATCTCTAAAGATGATCCCTCTTCATCTTGTGACCTGCTGATCCAGTTTTCCTCTTTGCTGTTTTCTTTTTTTAAACTTATTCACCATTCTCTTGATGGTTCTTGAATGGACTTTGATGATTCATTATCACCCCATATAAAAAGCCATAGTAAAAGAGAGATGAAGAACTGGATTTGTACCTTTCCCAAGGGTATTTGCACATGTGTAAATGTAAGAAGATCAATATTGGAATTCAAACTCATCATCCCAATTTCATCTATCTATCTATCTATCTATCTATCTATAATAAGGTAAAAAACAAATAGGAAATGTTTGTCAATCTAACATGTTTTCCTTTTACTAAAGCTTTGTCAGAGACTGAGGAAACAGACAAAAAGATGTAAATTCTGGTATTTTCAATTTTTTGTTGTTTCATTTTCATTGGTCATCATATATCAGGTGCATATATATATATATATATATATATATATATATATATATATATACACAATATATATATCTGTGTATATATATGTATATATATATACACAATATATATCTATATGTATATTTGCATTTTAATTGATTATTAAACTTATTGGTCAAGGACAAGATTCACAGTTATATATAATTTCTTTTTGTAAGAATTTTTTTCAACTTTGAACTTTTCCTGTTAAACAACATATTATTTTAAATAACCTTGACATATCTATACATGTTACAAAATTTTGATTTGTCAGTTTGTAAAACCTTTTTGACCTAAATTTTCTATTGTGTGGTAGGGAAAGTTCAAGGGTTAGTCAATTTAACAGTTCACGCTCAGCCATAACCACTTTGCTTCAAGGACTGTGTTTTGCAAAATCCTCATGAATTATTTAACATGTCTTCACCTAAAAAAAGTCAATAAACTCAGTAATTAATTCTCTGCTTTATCCTTTAAAACAAATTCCTAATTTTGTGATTATTGCCTCCATATTTGATTGTTTAAAGTGTGGGAAAATGAAATAAAGTCAATAAATAAAATAATAATGAATAATAAATAAAAGAAATACATTTTCCCATGATGTTAATATCAAAAAACCAGAGATATGATTACCCTACTTGACTTTGTCAAGCACACGTTAGACGGTGGTGTTTAAGTCTATGAAAAGACAAAATTTTTTCTACTTTCTTTGCTCTAAGATGTAGAACTACAGGAAAACCTTGATTCTCAAACATCTCACATGTTGAACAAATTGGTTTTTGAACAGGAAATTTGAGGTGAAAATACCTCAGTTATCGAACAAAATTTCAGTTCTCGAACAATATTGCTGAACTGAGCCAAATTGAGTTAACCTGAATGGAATCATTTCTGAGTTGACTGCCATATTGTATACATTCATGCATTGTGTTCTGCTTTTCTTTTCCAATTTTATTGTACTGTGCCATTTTTTTTCTCTTTATTAGTCCTTATTCATAGATTCAAAGAAAACTAGCAGTGATACTGGTAAAAGAAAAAGAAAAGTTGAGAGAAAAACAATTGTCTTTTAATAAATAAAGAGACAATAACATCTCTTTCCTTCCCCTTCCACACCACCTTCCTCTTACGCTATCAACTCTCCTACTTACATGTACGGTAAAATTAAAGTGTTTATCTATATTTTATCTGTTTAGTTATTAGGTTTTGTTTTTTTTTCTTAGATTTAATGATTTTGATTAGTTTTGTGTATAAACTTGTGCACAAAGTACTGTTGTAAAAGTTTAAATAAGCAATCATCTTTGGACCAGGAATGGATTAATCCATTTTACAGTGATTCCTACTCTAAATAGTTTTGGTTAACAAATATTTCAGGTTATAAATGTGCTTCAGGAACAAATTAAATTTGTGAATTGAGGTGCCACTGTATATGGTAATTAAACTCTCACTTGGGAATGTTTGTTTCCCCAGTCTGCTGACATCTGAACACTCACATGTTGTCCAGAACCCTCCATCTATGGAGTAAGTCAAGCTTTCTCTTTGGTTGTTCTAACTGAGTGCAAGGCTGACTTGAGCACAACCATTATAATGATGCTTATACTTACCCTAACTTTTGGACCAAGAAATCTTATAACCATGTTTAAACCTACCTTTTGTTGTTCTAACTCTGTACAAGGCTGGCATGAGCTTTACTATTAATATGATTCTTATACCTACCCTAATTACTGAACCAAAAGGAAAACGGACATACCCAAAAGTCATTAAAAACTTTTTCTCGGCATTCACCATAAAAATAATAAATGGTTCATAGTAGAAACGCAAGTTTTCATATACTTCTTCATTAATTATTTACATATGAACACACACCCCACATATAATACACACAAGCACCAACAGGTTAAATACCATAAAAATGAATGTTTAGTGTGAATGCTTGGCTTTTTGTATTTGATGAAGAAGAGACTTGAAGCAGTGGAGATTTGATTCAACAAATGGCTGCTGAAAATTACCATGTGAGGTGAGGAAGTTCTAAAGACAATGTGGACTAGAAAGATACTTATACTTAAAAACATAAAGGGAACTTGAAATTTCTGGGATGCATGAGGGCTTGGGGAATTTAATACTCACAGGATGTATTGAGGGAAGGAGGGGTAGAGGATAACATTTAGTAACTTAGCTCATGAATTTGTCAGATAGGCAAAAGCTGTAAGCAACCTCCTACAATCTTAAATATGTTTCAGCTTTAAATAACCCACAGAGGGTTGATAAACTGTGAAAAAACAAAACAAATTGATCAGCATTGTGTGAATGGATGACGGAGCATGAGTGATGGCAAACAGCTAAATGTTGCTTAGAGCTACAAGGAACAGGAAGCTGTGGGGAGACATAATCAAATAACCTACTTAATGAGTCGAGGACAAAGAGGAGTGGTAAAGAGTTAAATGTTGCTTAGAGCTACCAGAGATAGGAAGTTGTAGAGAGCTATGATCGAGTAACCTATCTAATGAGGTTGTGAGAATGGATAACAGAGCAAGGACGAAGAAGAATTGTAAACTGTCAAATGTTGTTTAGCGCTATAAGGGACAGGAAGTTGTGGAGAGCCATAATTGTGTACTTCCTGAAGGAGTACAGCATATAGATGATAAAGTTGAATAAAAATTTATTTCATTATTTAGGTACAAACTATTTTTATTTTAGCTGACTGGAAGCTAAGTTTATTATTTAGAAAGAAATGAGGGCATTTTTGAGTGTTGGTGGGCTTAGTCCATTATAAAGATTAATGCAATACAGTATTTGTAATCTGTATGTTCTCTGTACATGTTCATGCGCCAGACTAATGTAAGGAAATAAAGAGAGAAGAAAGAATGAAAAGAAGAAAGAAAAAGAAAAGATATAAAAGAATAGAAAAAAAAAAGAAAAAGAAATAAAAGATCAAAAAAAAGAAGAAAAAGAAAAAAAAAGAAAAAAGATGAAACAAAAAAGAAAGAAAAATAAAAGAGAAAAAAGAAAATAATAAATTGATTTTTTTTTTTACTGTTTGTAAAACTTTTGCAGGTTATTTAAAGCCAGGAAATATTTTTTAGATTGTATCAGTTTTTTGAACATAATGATTTACTCTTATAAGTAAAGAGAGAAGATATGATTCATAAGGTAAGTGAAATAACAAACCTGACTGGAATTGGAACTCAGCTCTCCGATTTCCAATTCCAAGCTGCTTTCCATTATACCATCCACACATCTGTGCTTACAGCACCTGGTATTCCCTGGTGGTCACTCACCGAGGTACTGATCAGGCTCGGCATTGCTTAACTTTCATGATTGTTTGATAACCGGTGTTTCAATATGATATAGACATAAACCAAGAGAAAGAAGAGAAAGAAGAAAAGAGAAAGAGAAGTAAAAGAAGAAAAAGAATAAAAAAAGGTAAAAAATAAAGACGAAAAGAAAAAGAAAAGACAAGAAAAACACAAAAAAAGAAAAAAAAAAGAAACAAAGAAACAAAGAAAGCAAAAGAAATAAAAGAAAAATAAACATAAAAAGTTTAAAAAAAAAAAACAGTAAGTCAACTATAGTTCCTAGAATGACAAAAATAAGTGAACACCTAAAACATTGAAACCAAACTAAGGCAAGTGCCAAAAATTAACCGTTTTGTCAGAGTTGTGCACAAGACTAATTGGGAACATCATCCCAGAGGAAATAGTTATATGGGACTGCCATTTTATAATCCAGTCAAAATTTGGAAATGGGAAGCAGATGAGAACTCTGAAATTGGCGTTGCAGTTTGTGAGTGATAACCTGATTTGAGATAAGTACTTCCTATGTTCACTCTTTGTCATTGGGGAAAGGTTGGAGAGTAATGGGAAATCAGTTTCCCTTTTGGAAGTGTAGACCCAGTGGAAAACACTTACCTACATGGTGAAAAAAACTGACAAATTACTTCTCATTATTCTAATGGAAGTGGCTTGCTATGAACTCCAAATACAAAATATATTTCAAAAGTAAAAATTGCATGGTCAAAAAACAGATCTGCAGTCATCACCCTGGGCTGATATTTAAGAGATAGTTTTGTTCACCTAGTTAACATTTAAGAACATAAAATATAGTTTTAAGGTATGCTATATTGTCCTGGGTTGAGCAGTGTTTACTTGCACCCACTGTAAACAGGCAAGCAATAATTGAACAGTACTAAATAAAAATAAGAACTAGACAATATCCTAAGACATGAGCAGTGGAATTAGAACAGTCTACTCCTGTAGATTAAATAAAGGGTTCAGTTCAGAATTCCTTGTAGGTTACCTAAGTCGATATACACCTGAAGAAGGCTGGAAAACACAATAGCCAAAATGTTGTGATAGCAAAGATGAGGACAATAATCTGGATATAGATAGTGTAAATAATCATAACTCCTCATCCCAGAAAATCAAACAGGAAAAATAAGGAAGAGAAAAAAATAAAAAGGAAGAGGGGACAGAATGATCAGAGGATAAGGTTTGATTTGTTTTTTAATGGCATATCAACATCTATATGGGTTATATAATGCCGAAATTTAATTTTCTTGGGGGCTTTGAAGTAGTAAAAATATTCTGCTTTCACAATTGAATACATGGTACATGATACTCAGCTTTTGTGCATATGCATGTTTATGTGGACTTGAGGCAGTGATCCATGTCTTTTATGTTGTAGTTTTGTTGAAGTTATATTTTGGATTACAGTTTGAAATTTTAGGATATTATAAGGATTAATGTTGTGAAAGAGTTCTTTCATATTGGTTGGTTGATTGATTTTGTGTAGTTGCATGTCAACATCTAAGGGTTAATTTAATGCTGAAATCTAAACATTTTGAACACAATTTTATGGCTTCAACTAATTATATTTTTAATGTAATTGTATGCCTTCAACTACAGATAAAATGTATTGTGGGTCATTTTGCTATAATATGTATTGTGGGTAATTTTATGATAAATAGGTGGTGTTGGTAATTTTTTATATAAAAATGTATTGCTGGTAATTTTATTATAAAAATATATTTTTATACTTTCATAGTGTTTTGTTTTTGTTTTGGGGAGGCATTATTTATCCATAGCTTGGACTCTAACAGTTGCTACCACCACAGGTCAGGGTAGACCTGGGAACAACAGCAATTAAAAGGTGGTTCAATGCTCCTCAAAATCTCCAATCTCCCAGTCAGAGTCCTTGCTGCTGGACGTAGTTCATCATCATACCCAGGACTAATAATGGTTTTGATGTAATTATTAACACTTCTATGACTCTTACAAGAAATGATTCATAAATTAATAAGAAAATACTTTATTTCAGAATCTTTGAAGCAACATGGGCATATTTTTACTTCAGGTAGTAAACCTATAATAATGGTAATATTAGCTGTTTCTTTATAAGGAAACATTTGGAAAAAATTCACCGGCTGAGCAGCTTGTATGAATTTTGGTTAAAATTTATAAAACCTCTTAAAACAATTTTTCAGGAAAAAAGCTGTTATCAAGTCCAGTAGCTGTTATTGCTCTTTCCAGTATTGATGAGGGTTTCCTTACTAACCTTTTATTTGAAGTAGCGTGGAATGTCAACATTTTGATTATGTCATTATTTTCTCTTAAAGTTACATGTGCTATCCTTTTTTGATGTTGTTGAAAGTCCTGTTATTTGGTATAGTTCTTTGTTTATGATTCTGTAGTGCCAGTCTGCAAAATTCGAAAAAGCATGGTCTTCACCAGAACTCTCAGGCTCCACTTGCTCAAAGCCATTTTTAACAATTGATATCAAAGGCATAGAAAAAAATAAGAAGGAAGAGGTAACAGAATGACTACAAGATTACTACTTGATTATGAAAGCTTCCATGGCTGAAATAGTTAAGCTGTTGTCATGTAAAAGTAACCTTTGAGATATGAGATAAAAGTATGAGTTTTTGAAAGCTAAATTTTTTTTTTCATTTCAATTTCACACTGTTTATTTTAATGGCTGAACACTAGTTCTGCTAATAACACTTTCATATAATGCAGCAAAAAAATAAATAACTAAGGAGAAAGAACCTCACAAAAAATGAATAAGAAAAAACTTCATCATTGTCTTAAAAAGAACTTAGGAGTAACTTAGAATTGAATGCAAATTCCAAGATATTTTTAGTAAAATTTTGAATATTGCTGCTACATATTGTCTAGTGCTGCTACTATATATTTAGAGATTCTTACTAAAATCCAAAGAAGAATCCACAATATTATTGATCTTGACCTGGCATCTCAGCTTCAGTCACTTCCTTACCACCACAACGTAGCTTACCTTTGGCTATTCTATAAATATTTTCATGGTAATTGTTCTGACGAACTTTCTGCAATTGTACCTGGACTTTATGAATTCAAGTGCAGTTCTAGACTGGCGACAAGGTCTCATCAATTTACAGTTGAACTAGCTAGATGTAACTGTAAGTTCTATGCTAAAAGTTTCTTTTCTCGCACTTCTCACTTGTGGAACTCTCATCCAGCTCCATACTTTCCAGTCAAATTTAATCGTCAATAATTTAAATGCTATGTAAATCATGATCTACTGTCTTCTTGATTCCTCTCCTTTATTTTTCTCACTCTTTAATAATGCTTCTCTTTTTTCTTATTCTTTTACACTCAGTAATTCCTTGTGTCTTAGTGGCTTTATTGCCTTGCTTGTTTTTAAAAAGAGATGCTCTTCAGCATTCTTCAGTTGTCTAAAGAAGGTCAAAATGCATTAGTCTGCAGGGCTGGCATGTAATATTCCCGAACCCTCTGACCTTGGGGACCCTGGACATCATTTTGTGATCCTCACTATCTTATCAATGTTTGCTTTTTTTCTACCTACATTTATATATAAGTTAAAAATTGATCAAAGTATGACTATTAACCCTTTCAGTCCTGTGTTCCTGAACACTTTCAACATTTCTGCCTGAGTTCTTGAGTCCAAATTCACAAATAATTGGTATGTAATGTTTCATGGTAAATATAAAAATAGTTACAAAATGGTCTGGTTCCTTGTACCACAGTGATAGTCCAAGGTAGAACCAATAAAGAAGAACTCGAACACGGATATGGAATAACACAGATATATTACAAACAGGAATATATACAGAGAGGTAGAAAGTGTTAGTACGAACAATCAGGTTTAGTAGGGAGAACAATGTTGTCTCAACCAGTATCACTATTCCAATGTCTTGTAGTAATTGTCTGAACACGACTGTTTCGGACTGCCTGTGACTCGACTGACTGACTCGCTCACTCTGACTGACGAACTTCTTACGAACTTCACTCCAGATTTCAGACTGAATGGTATTTAGTCATCCCCCCACGAGGGTATCATGTAACACAAGGCCGGTTTAATGTGGGATCTCCGAGCCCGTGGGCTCGACCAAAAATATATCCTTTGAACCCGTATAAACAGGTTCAGGGTCAGTTTACCTTCCCGAAAGAGACTCCGCACTTCGGCATAGCCTCATTCGGGTTCCTCCCCACCCGAAGGCAGAGAGTTCAACCGATCAGCCAGTCGTCCGACTTCAGACTGAACTCCCTGCTTCCTCTTGAGGTGCAGTACTTATTACGTATGGGATAGTCCATTATGTTATAATGGGTAGGGTCCCATAACACAAAAAAATATAACTTCCAGATTTTTTCCCTCATGGTAGAGAGATTCTGCATGCTTCATGGTAAAAAAAATCTTTTTTTATCCAAAACACATGAACAAAACAATGAAAAGGTGCAGAAATGTTGGCATAACGTTCAATGACCTCAGAATATTACAAGTTTTATGATTGGTTCTTCAAAATAAGACAACCAATAGCAAAACACGATGCAAATGCTTACCCACTGATAAAACAGTGGCCAAGGCTCAAAGGGTTAAAGAATGAAAAATTTTTGCAGATTTTAACATTGTTCTGGGATTTTTTTCATCCATATCTGTAAATTTGTTTTGTTTCATGTTAAGTTTTGAAAAAACACTGTCTAAAATTCACTATTTTTTATCCATAATGTTGGATGTGTTAACTTTGACATTTTAACAAGAAAAATCTCAAGTTGATACTAAAAATTACCACAAAACATTGTTGATTTATTTATGATGGAATGATCTATTATGACATGTCTCTAATTTGTATTTAGATATATTGTATTTATTTTTGATTTTTCTAGATGAATTGTTCACCTGTATTGTATATGATCCATTATTGTACATAATTAAGTTACAATAAAATTTGTATTTTATATGGATACTACCTTATGAAAATTGAGATGTAGTAGAGTTTCCCCCACCCATCATAGATTCGGGGTGAGAGGCACAAGACACTTGCACCAGCAATGTTAGTCAGAATGTAAATTATGATGTCTTTGTCCAACAATTTTATTTCAAGTAAAGGAAAACCCATCTCCAGATGTAAAGCCAGAGTCATTTTATAGTTGGAAACAATGTTACTGTTATCACGTTTCACTTGTTGTGTAATTTCCTTACTGTCACTCATTGCCAGGAAGTGAGTTAAATTTACTTTCTAAAGAAATTGTGTCATGTTGCGCACTGACTGGGAAAAGAAAAAAATGCTGAAAATAAACTTTTTTTTTTTTTCCCTCTCAAATCGTTTTTTATTTATTTGTATATGCAACAATTAAAAAGATCAAAATGACAATCAACTACTCTTTGACAGCTTGGATGACATAACAATTTGTTATCTCAAAGCCCAGAAGCGAGGCAGCAGAGAGAAGAGTGTATTAAGTGTGCATTAAATGATTCCTGTTAAATAACAAAGTGAATGGAATTTTTATTTATTTCTTTTTACAACACTGACTACATTCTTAATTTACCTGGAATGACTGGTTGATTAATTGATGTTTTTTGGGAGATTTTTCAACCTTTTCTTGTTATTTAAACCCAGAAACTATTTTTAGATTGTAAGATTGTTTCGGAGATAATAATGATTTACTGATACAACTCCTACTGATTAACCCATAGCTGGGGGTAGAGAAGAGGTGGATTCATACCTTTCCCCAAGGGTATTTCTGCATAAGTGAATATAATGAACCCAATGGGAGTTGGAACTTGGTTCTCTGATTAGCAATTCCAAGCAATTATCCATTACACCATCTGTACTTTCAAGCTTAAAGTACTTAGCATTCCCATAGTAGTCACCCATCTAGGTACTGACGAGGCTTGGCACAGCTTAACTTTGGTGATCATACCTGAACTGGTGTTTCAATGTGATGTGGCCATAAGCCTTAACTACTTTGACCATAATAATAAGAGTGTAAGAGGAGCTTGAACGAAGAAAAATAAAATAGCTATACTCCATGTCTAAAAAGGGGAATTGATTGATTAATTGTTTTTTATGGTTTATCAACCTTTTGCAGGTTATTTAAAGCCAGAAAATTTTTTTAGATTTTAAGAATTTTGGTGGGGAGATAATAATGATTTACTGATACAAGTCCTACTAATTAACCCATAGCTGGAGGGAGAAGAAATGGATCCATACCTTTTCCAAAGATATTTGTGTTTTTTTTGTTTTTTTTTTAAGCATTTCACCCCTAGCAAGGCAGGAAGCCACTAGCACGCAAGGGGTTACAGAGGATTTGGAGTGAGAGCAGATAGAAATGATAGAGAAGAGGATGAGGAGAAGGATAGTGGATAGATCAAGGCAACTGGAGGTGTCAATTGACATTACATTTGAATAGTTGGAGATTAAAGCTATCAGCGAAATAACAGGTGAGAGGTGCGAGACATGAAGCTATTGGAGTAGAAGAGGCGACTACATTTATCAGTTTCAACAGTGAAAGGGTGAGAGCAGGATGCCAGCCTTGTAGGACGCTTGAATTCGTGAAGTCTTGGAACCAGCAAAAGCAGCTCATTGGAGCAATTACCATGAAAGTATTTGTAAAAAAAGACAGCGAGAGGCAACAGCACGTCTGTGAAAGAGCGACTGCAGGCGAGTTTAAGTGAATATAACAAACCTGACTGGAATTTGAATTTAGCTTACCAATTTCCAATTCCAAGCCATTATTCATTACACCACCTGTATATCAAAGATTACAGCACCTGATATTCCCAAGTAGTCACCAATCTAGGTTCTAACGAGGTTTGACATTGCTTAACTTCAGTGATCATATGAGAACCAGTGTTTCAATATGTTATGGCTATAAACCTGCATTGGCTGGTAGGAATAACTATATCTTACCATCTCAATATAGCCTGACACCAGAAATATGATAACATTGTTCATGGATCACAACAAACAAGGATGTGTATATATGTTTAAGAGAAAACAATTTATCTACATACATACAGAACTTGAATGAAACAATATCTATTTCAGGCATTTAAACAAGTGCACATTAGCAGACATGGAAAAGATATGAATTAAGGTCTTAATTGATAGCTGATATGGCCATGCCTGCTATCAGTGATTTTTGCCTGGATCAAATCAGTGAGCCTAATGATGCCAAGTTGCCTTGCTCTGAAGTAATTTTACTGTGGTAATTCTTACAGCATTAAATTTAAACTTTTCCTATTCCAGAGCTTGATACTATTTCATTTCCCATTGTACATATTGTTGAAGAAAAAAATCTTTTATTATAAATCAGAAAAAAAATAAAATACATTTTTCCTTTTTATCAATGACTTTTTCCAATCTGGGTGACAGTCAATGTTACACCACACTGTTAATTCACATAAATTCACAGATCTGAAACCTCCAACGATCCAAGAGAGGCAGAGTAGAGTAATTGATAGTTGTTCGGATTGAGGAATCAGAGAGCTGAGTTCAAATTCCAGTTGAATCCTTTACATTCACTTACATGCTAATACCATTGGGAAAGGTATGAATTCTCTTCTTCTCCCCCAGCTATGGGTAAATAGCAGAAGAGACCAGGTTCTATAGCCTTGGATGGCAACTGGTCTACCGCAGAAAGAAATGGCAACCTACTATGGGGGGAAAAAATCTGCCTCATCAATCATGTATCTGTTGTGATGATATAACCCAACTTCCCCATTCACGATAATGGACGGACTGGTTGCCGATTAAGTACGACCACAGCGGTCAGTCGAAAAAAGGTCTTCGTTTGTTAACACCTATTGAGGTTAGCATACTCCCGACTCTGTCTCTGTATTTTGACACACCTACATCCGATTATAAAATTATTATTGAAAAACCAACACTCGGGTTTACTTTGTTTATTATATCTTGCACAAGATATAACAGTATCAAAAGATACATGATTGCCTAAGTGTGTATCATGCATGGCACATAACTGACTGACTGGTGAAAAATTGTCATCGGAATGACGCTCATATGTACGCAGACATACATACACACATGTTCATGCATTTGCTTCCACTACCATAAAAACACAGATATGCGCAAAAATATATAAATCCAAAATTTAAAAATGAATCAGTTTGTCTGATGATTGCAAATAGCATGAAACACAGGATCACAAACTCACATCAATCCAACTATATATATATATATATATATATATATATATATATATATATATATATATATATATAACCAACTACAAGGTTGATACAGAGGGAATAAAAAAATTGCTCAATGCAAAGTAGAGCAATTAATATTTACTTAAAAATTATAACATAATCATGTTATAACATCACTACAAAAATAGCCATTTTGTTTCACCACTTCTGATGTCTTGTCAAGTGATGGTGTTGATTGCAGAATAAAGAGTTTTAAAAAGTTCAAAACCAACCCCCTCAGTGTGCAATTTTTATATATATTATTATTTATATATTATATATGCATGATACTTATTGGAAAGTGCTCAATATCAGTGATAGAGCTAACATATTTAGTTGGATTGATGTGAGTTTATGACACTGGGTCTCACTCTGTTTACGATCGTTAGACAATCACAAATAGCATGAAACACAGGGTTACAAACTCACATCAATCCAACTATATATATATATATATATATATATATATATATATATATATATATATATATATATATATTTCCCTAAAATTGTTTTTGATAGTTAAAATTTATATATAATTTTCCTATATATATGTGTGTGTGTGTGTTGGGAGGATGTAGGAAAATCAATGACAAAGTGGAAAAAATTTATGTGATGCATTTCATCCCTTTCGTTCTGATATATCAAAATTTAAAGATCATTTTCTCTTGTATATATATATATATATATATATATATATATTCTCTTGCTCCTCATCAACTAAATATCTGCAGATGGAATCTAAAAGTTTTATTTTATGAGAGTTGTTTTACTCTTGTCTGTTTTCTAACCTTATTCTCTCTGGCTCTCTTTCTGACACACACACACACACACTCACCCCTGTGTGCTTTATCTATAAAAAAAAAAAAGAAAGAAAACAGATAAACAAAAAACAAAGAAAACAAGTCATTTGGGATTGTGTCATTCTTGTGCAGCTGACATGAATGTTGAGGTTTCCCTTAACTTCAAGGACAACTTGAACAAAAAAAAAAAAAAAAATGGAGCTTGCTTGTAAAGATGTAAGGAGTGGAAAGAAGGAAATGTGTAGAAATTGTAAAAGGAGCAGGTTGAGTTTATGGTGAGACAATCTACAACCATACAGACCCCTGCACCCAACAACATAAACTAGCCACCCCATCACATTGACAAAACCTGTGGGTGGACCTCAGAACCTTGTTGGATTTAAGTTTTTTCTGGGAGAATTGTGGATGCTGAGAACTGGTTGGGGGATTGGAGTTAGTGTGTATGTGTGGGGAGGGGGAGAATTTCACTCAGTTTACAGCTGACATCACCTCTGCTTACCATTATCTTATTTTTAATTTTTTTAGTTTATATTTATTTGTTTCTGCATTTTTTTTTATCCTTTTTGTTTGTTAATAGTTTGCTAATCTTTTTTCCTTCTGTATTTCTCCTAAATTTTTTTCCTTCCTTGCTTATTCTTGTTTCCTTCTTTTTTTTTTCTTCTTCAGCTTTCCACATTGTTTTCTTTTTCTTCCATTTCTTCATTTATTTCCCTCTTTTTTACTTGACTTTTTCTTTCTACTCTGCTTTTCTTTTTCTTTATCATTTTCTCTTGGTCTTTACCCACTTCTCTTTTTATGTTCTTTTCTTCTTCTTCTTTTCTTTGTTTTTCTACCTTTTTTATGTTTCTTTTTTCTTCTTTGTAATCCTTTTCCTTTAACTTCTTTCTTTTTCTTTTTTTCTTCACTTTTTCTGCTTTCTTTTTCTATTCTTCTTCTTTCTGCTTCTTTTTTTCACTTTTCTTTTTCCACCTCCTTTTTCTTCCTTGTCTTCATTTTCTCTCCTTTTTTTCACTGTAGCTTTTTTCTTCCTAATTTGCTTTTCTTTTCTTCATATTTTTCACTTTTTCCTTCCCACAGTTTTTTTTTTATTCACTTTATTTTTCCTTTTTCTTTTGTCCCTTTCTTTTTTCTTAAATTTTCTATCTATTTTTCATTTTTCTTCCTTTTCTTTTTCTTCCTTTATTTCTTTGTGTTTTCTCTTTATTCTTTTTTCTACTTTTCTTCACTTTTCTTTCACCTGCATTTTTTCTACTTCTTTTTTAATTTGTCTTTTTCCTTCTTTTTTCTATTTTTCTTCATTGCTTTCACTTTTTTCCTCCTTTTCTTTGTTTTTTTTTCTTATTTTACCTCCTTTATTCTTTCATCTAATTTTGTCTCACTCTTTCAGCTTTCATTGTTTTATATTTTTCCTTTTCTTTCTTCATATTTGATTTCATGTATTTTGTCTCCCTTTCCTTCTTTCAGTATGCTATTTTTTCTTTTCTCTTTTTTTTAATTTATTTTTTCTTCTCATCTTTTAATAACTTATTCATATGTGCTTTTGCCCTTATTAAAAAAAAAAAGTATTTATACTGTCTCATGCAATAAACAGAGGTGCACAGACATTCAAATCTCTAACTATAGCTGATTTGTCAGGTTGGTGATGTCATCAGCCATGGTAGGCAATCCCAGCATGCATCATATTTTGAAAGTGCATGAAAACCAGCCCACAGTTTGACACAAGCCTTCTGAATGAAACTGGGTTAACAGAACTATTCGAAAGCCATTAATGGTTAAACTAGCATGAAGTTACAAGTCATCGTGACCGAGAGTTTGAACAGACTGGACTAGTTTAAACTGTCAACCACACCAAAGTGTAACTATGGTCTTTCTCAGAATTATTGCAGTATAAATTACTACTAGGCTTCATCAATAAACACAAATGTGCCTGATCAGGCATTTGCAGCAGGGATTAGCTGCCCTAGCAAATGAATGTGTCCAGGAATGAGTAGCTGATCATTATTGTATGTATATATATATATATATATATATATATATATATATATGGAAAAAATATAGTTTTAAGGTGTGCTATATTTATGGGATGAAGTGCTCAATATCAGAGATAGAGCGTATGTAAATATAAATATAAAAGTGAACATTGAAGTCAACACTCAGAGGTAACAGGCTGTTTCATGCTAGACGCAATTGTCAGGCTGCCTGACATGTGCCGATACCTGGATCATCTCGAACAGCCTGTAGCATATTCTTCATGATCAGGCATACGAGCAGTCCTTGGTCTTCCTTGATCCATGACTTGTGGTGGCACAGATCCTGTCTCAGTAATGCCAAAACAGCAGCAAAGGTTGGATGACTTAGCTGCCTTCAGTCTGGAGATGCAATTGATACAGCCATGCTGCCTCGCATACATTACCATTCACATGGCTGTATGTAAAAATCATATCTGCCTGCTTAGGATATGAATATTCTACCATTGTTAAATGGTACACTTCTCAGTTAACTCATTACTACACATGTTAATTGTTGAAGACAGATTAACTACAAATGTACACGAATGACAAATGTAACCTAGACTATGTAGCAATACAGCACCATCTACAGTAAACTTTATTCAATCTTAATAACTCAAAAATGAAGGATTTGTGAACATATGAACTTTTGTCCTTGTTTTGGTATGAGGAACCCACCACCAAAGTTTAAAAAGTATTTTTGATACACCCTGTATATAAGAAAACTCATTCTATCATGAAATAAATAGAACCATCATTTTGGAAGAATAGCTTCCTTTCCTAGTGATTATAAATTACACATATACCATTATTGGTAAAAGGAATTCATATTGAACATAATACTTCAGAAATTTTTTTCAAAAATATAAATACATATATTGTTTAATTTTTTTCAAGGAAAAACATATTACATAAACCTTTGAAACAAACAGAAATGAAGAATGCCAAGCTCAGCTCAGACATTTTTATCATTTGTCTTTTCTTTACCATAATAGTTTACAAGAGAGTATATTTATTTGCTGCTATTACATTAGATTCAAGTACAAATCAAGTCACTTTTAAGGTGCACAAGCTTTGAAATCATGTGTTGTTGTTTGATTGCAATCATGTGAGTGAATAATAAAAAAAGACTAAAATATCTGATAAGAACGGAAAATGAAAGGTGAAGAAAGGAGAAAAGAAAAGAAACAAGAAAAGAAAGGAGACAAGAAGGGAGAAGAGAGAAGAAAAGAAAGGAGACAAGAAGGGAAAAGAGAGAAGAAAAGAAAGGAGACAAGAAGGGAAAAGAGAGAAGAAAAGAAAGGAGACAAGAAAAGAAAGGAGACAAGAAGGGAAAAGAGAGAAGAAAAGAAAGGAGACAAGAAAAGAAAGGAGACAAGAAGGGAAAAGAGAGAAGAAAAGAAAGGAGACAAGAAGGGAAAAGAGAGAAGAAAAGAAAGGAGACAAGAAAAAAAGGAGACAAGAAGGGAAAAGAGAGAAGAAAAGAAAGGAGACAAGAGAAGAAAGGAGACAAGAAGGGAAAAGAGAGAAGAAAAGAAAGGAGACAAGAAAAGAAAGGAGACAAGAAGGGAAAAGAGAGAAGAAAAGAAAGGAGACAAGAAGGGAAAGAGAGAAGAAGGAAAGGAGAGAAGAAAAGAAAGGAGACAAGAAGGGAAAAGAGAGAAGAAAAGAAAGGAGACAAAGAGAAGAAAGGAGACAAGAAGGAAAAAAGAGAAGAAAAGAAAGGAGACAAGAGAAGAAAGGAGACAAGAAGGGAAAAGAGAGAAGAAAAGAAAGGAGACAAGAGAAGAAAGGAGACAAGAAGGGAAAAGAGAGAAGAAAAGAAAGGAGACAAGAGAAGAAAGGAGACAAGAAGGGAAAAGAGAGAAGAAAAGAAAGGTGATATCAACTAAAATATCTGATAAGAAAGAAAGAAGAAAGGTGAAGAAAGAAAAAAGAGAAAGTCAGAAAGGACAAAGAAAAAAGGGGAGAAGATCAACCCCCAGTACCAACAGCCTGTTTCATGCTTAAATGCAATCTTCAGGCCATGTGCCAGAAGATTGCATTTAAGCATGAAACAGACTGTTGCCTCTGGCTGTTGACCTCAATATCCACTTTCATATTTGAATTTACTTACGTGATATTGAGCACTTTAACCAATAAATATAGCATAGCTTAAAACTATATTTTTATCATATATATATATATATATATATATGAAGAAATATATTTTTAAGGTATGCTACATTTGTGGGATAAAGTGCTCAATATCAGAGATAGAGTGTATGTCAATATAAATATGAAAGTGAACATTGAAGTCAACACTTAGAGGTGACAGACTGTTTCATTCAAATGCCATCATCAGGCCATGATGATTCCATTTAGCCTGAAACAGTCTGTCACCTCTGAGTGTTGACTTCAATGTTCACTATATATATATATATATATATATATCATATATATATATATATATATATATATATATATATATATTTATGATAATTTCTATATTTAGTAGGTACACCTATTTGGATAGATATCCCTGGCTTAGAGGTCAAAAGTATTATTAAGAAAAAATTATGTCTCAATAGGAATAGCAATTGTATTAATTTTTATTCTGAAAAACCACCTTCAATCCAGACATATTTTACTGCTAAGCTGTGATAAGCCATTACAGCAAAGCAAGTTAAATTTTTTGAAAATTTTATTAAAGTCCACACAATACGGAGTTTGAGAGCCACTCAATTTGGAGGCTTACTGTTAAAAGTGGTTATGATGAGTGAGGTGTGATATATGAATGAAAAAAGTGATAGGAATTAAAGATTATGAGGACAATGAGGATAGATAATGATTGACCCTTCACATATTCAAGAAATGACTGATGAGGCAGATTTTATCCCGCAGTAGGTTGCCATTTCTTTCTGTGGTAGACCAGTTGCCAAGGCTATAGAACCTGTTCTGCTATTTACCCATAGCTGAAGGGGAGAAGAAAATTCATACCTTTCCCAAGGGTATTAGTACATAATTGAATGTAATGGATTTGACTGGAATTCAAACTCGGCTCTCCAATTCCTCAAGCCGGCAGGTAGGGAACTATAAATATATTAGTATGTAACCACCATAGAGAACCTTTTCTGCTTACCATCATCATAGTTGACATTAGACTCCTGGAGAGCAACTCACTATGCCTTCTTGGTCTCATGTTTCCCATTGACTTGAAGTGGAGTGATTGCAACGAATCAATAGCTTCATCCACTGCAAGGAAAGTTGAGTCATTGTATTGTGCCCAAAATTATGTCAGAAACCATCTTGCACATTTACAAATCTATCACTTGTCTGTGCATGGAATACTGTTGCCATATCTGGTCTGGTGCTCCTGCTGTACATCTCGAGATTCTTGACAAAGTCCAAAGAAGGATCTGTAATGTAATCCTTTGACTTCACCTTCAACCAATTTCTCACTGATGTACTCTACAAATATTTTCATGGCAACTGCTCTGACAAGCTTCTTTTTTTTTTTTTTCTGGTGCCAGTACTACATGAATTTAAGTGTGCTACTAGATTGGCATCTAGGTCCCACTGATTTACTTTTGAAATAGCTCAATAAAACTGCCACTTTTACTCCAACAGTTTCTTTTCTCACATTTCCCACCCATGGAACTCCCTTTCATTTACTTGCTTCCAAGATAATTACAATCCTCAAAAATTTAAATGCAAAATCAATTGCCATCTTCTGTCTTGTCAAATCCCATTAATTTTTTACCCTTTCCTCAATCCTTCCTATTCTCAGTCTTCTCTTTCACTTTTAACTTTCACTAACCCCCTGTGTAATAGTGGTATTACTACCTTGCTTGGGGTGAAATGATTAAAAATAATAATAAAAAGTACTACAATATGTTTATCTGATCTTTATTTGACTATCTTTTATAGTTTGACTTAATTGGTTTTCTCAACCAAAAATGTAAAAAAACCTTATTTTTGGCTCTTTATTATGTTAAAATATTTCTTTTTTTATTCATTATACATAGCAAAATAAGTTTTTTTTCTTTTTTCTCCCCGATTTGAGAACACCAACTGCTTTTATCAACCGAGCATTTTTTTCATTCATCAACAACTGGGAGAGGATGCATGATATTAGCATATCAAAATACTTTTATGGTGATTCCTGCGACTGACTTGTTTCTAATTTGAATATACCATCTTCAGCATATTATGCAGAATATGTGCCTTTTTTTTGGGCAAATAACTTTCTTTTTCACAATGGCTTCCATTGTAGGATACCGCGACACGCTGTCGCTTGGTTTGAGGAGATAATTCGCCATTTTCTTCACTATATTTTAACAAACAGTTTTTATGCTGTAGCCAGTTGCTCCGGTTATTTTCTTCTTTAACTATGAAGTATTGAGTTTTAAGTTGTTCTTGAAAAAAAAAAAAACAAGCTTTTAGAACATAAACTTTCATGGTCAAATTAATCATTCTGATGAATAAAGAGAAAAAACAAGCTTTCAGCACATGAAGATAGGTAAGATAACTAATGAAATTCTAGCCTTTGTACAAACATCAATGCCTTTGCTGACAGCTTTGTTTTTCTCCTTCCATTGCAAGAAAGATTCCAAGATTGAATCTTATTTTAGTACCATTTCATAGCTGAAAAGTCTTATACTGTGATTGTTTTCTCAAAATTCAAATTTTAGTTCTGACAGGACGTGTGGTTAGTATGAAGCAGTGATTCCCAAAGTAGGTGGTACCTGCCCTCAGGGGTGGGGAAAAGATCTATGGGGGTTGTTAAGAAAAAAGTGGGCAGCCAGAGTCTGGCAGTGGCACATCTGAACCATAACATACACTACACATACACATTGTACCTGAAGTATATCTTGCCTTCATTTTACAGTGTATTCTATTTATATAACAATTATTATGGGAAATAAAAGATACTCATTTGGTATTCAATAGCAGAAACCAAGAAAATTCAATCAAAGGTTTACTATACATTGGGGGGGGGGTTGTTAGAGTTGTGTTTTGGCATGCAAGGGGGTGGCAGCCCCCAAAAGTTTATGAACCACTGGTATAAAGGATATCAGGTTGTGTTCACTTTCTCATAGATGCATTTTGAAAAGGCATACATCAATCTTGTGGTTAAATAGCAGTGTAGACTGGGCTCTCTAGTCTTGAGAAAGAAAACTCTAAACAATGGAGAACGCAATAGGAAACTACTCTGTTATCGTTCCCAGGAATGAATGGTGGTTCACTATGACACGTGAGGCAATTTTTCTCTCCTGAATCTATCTTACATATTTATAAGTCTACTATTCTTCCTTGCTTTGAATATTGTTGCCATATCTGGTCTGATGCTCCTGATATATATTTAGAGATTCTTGATAAAATACAAAGAAGAATCTGCAATATTATTGGTCCTGACCTGGCATCTTGGCTTCAATCACTTTCCTACTGCCATAATCTAGCTTCACTATTCTATAAATACTTTTATGGTAACTGTTCAGCTGTGGTTTTTGCTATGGTGCCTAGACTGATAAACTTTCTGCTATGGTGCATAAACTTTATGAATTTAAGTGCAGTACTAGATTAGCAACAAGGTTTCATCAATTTATAGTTGAATTGGCTAGATGTAACTGTAAGTTTTCTGCTCATAATTTCTTTTCTTGCTCTTTTCATTTGTGGAACTCTCTTCTGGCTTCTTGCTTCCTTGTTGATCTTCAAAAATTTAAATGCAATGTCAATTGTTATCTTCTGTTTTCTTGATTACTCTTCTATTGTTCTCACTCATAAATAATGCTTCTATTTTCTAATCCTCTCACACCCAGTAACCCCTTGTCTCTTAGGTGATTTTGATTTTAAAAATTAAAATAAAAAAATTTTGGAATTTACAGATGATAAATTAAAGGAATCTATGGAGAGTTCTGATTACTTATGCCCTTTTCCAGCAGATTCAGTCCTGCAAGCTATTCTGTCTCTATTCCCTTAGCAAATCTTCAGACAAACTTCATTTTTTAGTTCCACCAGTTCAAACCTTTAGAGCTAGGACATGCCTTGCCATTTCCATGGAGTTGAATCACCCTCATTTCTTGTCCATTTCAAATATAATGAAGAAAGTTCTACTCAGACTGCTTTTTATCAAGAAGTTTCACTTTCCCATGGACGCAATGGTATATGTCTCTACTCTTTTCTTCCTTCCATCGAAAACTTTCAGATATTCTAATCCTACCATTTTGGGCCTTCATTTTGGCTCATCTTGCCACTTTCAAGGAGTTGAATCATCCTCATTTCCTTCAGGTTTCAAATAAAGTTCCACTCATATAGCTTGTTTTCCAAGAACTACCCCCTTGTGAAACAGATTTAGTTTTCTTGAACACTTTAATCTTGACCTCTTCAAATCAAGGCTCAGTTGTTATCTTTCCACCTTATCCTCATGATTTTCACCTTATACAATCCTCTCTTTTATTCATACTACACACCTCATTTGCAATTAACATAACACTCTAGCTTGAGTGGCTCCTGAGGCTTGTATTGGGTGAAATTTGATAAATTACATTTTAAAAAAATAAAATGTTTTGAATAATCTGTTACGTCTAATTCTCATCATTGTATCATTCTAGTATTGTAGGCTTTTTTTATGTTGCCTGAGGCTTTTAAGAGTCTGAACTTGTGAGTGAAATTTACCCAAGGGTTTTTATACTTACATTACTTGAACAGAATGTGGCACAAGGCGGGTTTTAAAATGGTAACCACATGCATATATGAGACAAGGGACAGAGATTAATCAACCCCCAACAATACTTTCTATAATAGAGCTATGTTTACTCCAGAATGCATGGCACATGATACTACAACTCTGATGACATTCTAACTAGATCAGAAAACTAAGATCACTGGACTCCATTGTAATCAGTATTTGAAAGCAGAGCAGATGTTTGTTCAGTGTATTTTCAATGGTTTAAAACACTAGTTTTCTTTACCTTGTGTTTTATCAAATCAACTTATATTTGCTCATCTTCTCTGTTCTGTGTGGTAAGTAGGATTCACAAGCCACATGAGACCATTTTTTAAATTAATTTCTTGTGGGACAACAAAGAAGAGTCTCTTTTGATGGAACAACGCACTCACCTTCTCTAAAATTGAAGTCCTACATGCCAGCCAAAGATGAACTCTCTTTCATCAAGAATAAGGCATGACTTGGTCACCATTTCTGCCATTCAATTCTAGTTCTGGTTCACCATGTTTGCTACAGTTGCCTCCTGTTTTCTCTACATCTGCCGGGAGATTGTCTAACATTCACTGCCATATTCAAGGATGGATACCACATAGCAATACGGCACTCTTTTCTTTGTTTGTAACAAAATTTTTCTGTTTCTTAATACTTCGCTTAGCTTTTGAAAGGCATCTTTCACTAGTCCAATAGTCAGTCAAATGCCATACATGATACACATTTAGGTGATCATGACTCTTTTGATTCATGACTCACTAGGCAGAAGATTTTCCGAAAGTAGGGTGTCATTTATTTCTGCAGTATACTGGTTGCTAACGTAGGCTTTAGAACCCAGTCTGTCCTGCTATTTAACCCATAGCTGGGAGTTAAGAGATGGCTTTATTCCTTTTTCAATGGAAATAAATCATATAAGTGAATGAAACAAAGGTGACTGGAATTTGAACTTTGTTCTCTGATGTTTCATTCTGAGCTATTATCCACTAAACCACATCACACATTACCAAAGTCACAGAACCTACAAAAAAAACTCAATAAAAACAGCAACAGAAATAAGATGAAAATTCCCATATGATCACCAAAGTTAAGCAATGTTGAACCTGGTAAGTACCTAGATGGGTGACCAGTTGGGAATGCCGGGTGTTGTAAGCCTTGATGAACAGGTGTTATAATGAATAATGGCTTGGAATTGCTAGTCAGAGAGCTGAGTTCTAATTCCCTTTGGGTTTTTTTTTATATTCACTTACATGCAAATACCCTTGGGAAAGGTATGAATCCACTTCTCCCCCCAGCTATGGGTTAATTATTAAGACTTGTATCATTAAACCATTATTATCTAAAAAACAACAACAACAAAAAAAACATTCTAACAATCTAAAACTATTCCCTGGCTTTAAATAACCTGCAAAAGGTTGATAAGCTGCAAAAAACAAATCAACCAACAGGAAATATGAAACTACCTCTGTTCTGAGATATGCTAAAATTGTAATAAAAAAACTTAATATTGATTGTCAGTTTTATTAAATATATTACTTCAGTATATATTATATTATTATATTTATTATTATTATATATTCAGTATATAATATATTATTAAATATATTACTTCAGTCTAATTACTATACCTTTTCTTATTTTTCTGATTCCAGGTGAGTGCTTGGTTTTCTTATGATTCTTGGAGATATATATATATATATATATATATATATATATATATATATATATATATATATATACTGATACATGCAGGTAAGTCAGAGATTATTGATATATAAACTTTTATCTGTTGGTGTTACTTAGATTTATTTCTATTGCATGTACCAGTTTATGTGATTTTAGATTGTATAAACAACACTTATGTGACAAGATTTTAAAGAAATTGGCAAAATCACTCAAAGTTAGCATCTAAAGATAGAAACAGAATTCAAGTTGGCCAATGAATCTATTGCAACTCTCCATTGTTAAGAAAGTGATCAACTGAATTCTCACATCAAAAGTCAACTACTAAAAAAGTAATTATAACATGGGATAGTAATATTGCTAAAGGCAGACTACTCATAACCCATTTTACAAGTATTTGAAAATTCACTACTTACATTTTTTATGATGTCATCTGTGCTTTAAATTAGGAAAAAAGTCAAAATATCACACAATTTAAAATTTTTTTTATTTATTTCACCCCAAGAAAGGTAATAAAGACACTAAGACTTTTTTTTTTACCGTAAGTTTCACCCGGTACAAAGCCCAAGGGCCACTCAAGTTAGAAGGTTATGTTAAGGGGTAATTTATATGGATAGGCGAGGAAGGTAACAATTAACTCTAGACTTGCACAATTTAAAATTGTAGTAATCAGGGAAACATTCTCTTTGGAGTCTATTCCATAGGGCAGTGGTTTGCAGGAAGAAGTTGTTTGAGTGGAACTGACTGTTAGAAAATAAGATAAAGAAAAATATTTTTAAGGAGTGAGAGCAATAAAAGAAAAGAAATTAAGAATATAGATGATAACGATTGACATTGCATTTAAATTTTTAAAGATCAAATTTGACTGGAAAGCAAGAAGCTAGAAGAGAGTTCCACAAGTGAGAAGTGCAAGAGAAAAAAACTATTAGCATAAAACTTATGGTTACATTTCAATAAAAACCTTCTTTTTTTTTTTTTTTTAAACTCATTAATGCCCAACATCAAAAAAATTGAAAGCTGGGTGTTAATTCTGCTCTTTTACGTTTCAGATGACTTTTATGGAGAGTGTTAATGCTAATCCTCCCAAGGATTGAACTCTTCATCCTTGGCTAACAAATATTGTTGATTTACCATGTCCCACTTGCTAATTAAAAATAAGCCCATCCTATTTCCATAAAAACTTCTAATAATTTGTTCAGAAATGTGAACATTTCATTTAACTTTGGGGTTCTATGCTGGACAATTTCAGAGCTGAAACAGATCAAACAGAAAACTTGGGGGTACAACATTAAAAAAAATTTGGATATACAGTGTAACCCGGATATAAGAGAGTTGTCGGGACCGGAGAAGAAGTCTCTTATATCCGGGTTTGGTCTATTTTATATACATTAACACAGTCTCTAATTTGGGACCAGAGAAAATCTCTCTTATATCCGGGTTTCTCTCATATCTGGGTTACACTGTAGATAGAAACTTATTTTTTATAAACCTATAATTAATACCAGATTTTATTTTATAAACCTATAATTAATACTAAATTTGTTTTATTTTAATTTTTGAAAGTTGATGCCAGATTTAATGGGTTAACATCTTTGCTAAAATTATTAGGCTGAGTCATAAGTAATTTCTGTTTTGGTGAACTAATTATATTATTAAGATATCATCTTATCTATGCTAATAGCAGTTTATTGTATTGTGGCAGCAGATCATTATTTAAACATAACAGACAATGAATACTGATTGTGTCTGATCATCAGCTGTTCTAATGTTCATATGTTTGCTTTAATTTCGGATGAAAATAAAGACAAAAATTGTCCAACATTTGGATATCAATTTAGATAAGCCAATGTAGTATATCAATTTACATGCTCATTCAGAGATTGTATCTCTGATACTAATAATAAACCCACTACATATGTTGGTTTTACTACAACCACACTCTCCTGTAGACTTACCTGTCACCTTTCTGATTTTAGTTCTTCTAATAAAGAACATTTCTTAGAAAAACATAGCCATGTATATAATATTAGATAGATATTAGTTGATAACAAAATAATACTCACACATACACACAGTAAAAAGAAGCTTCAGATATTGGAGGCCATCTACATTAAAATAAAGCAACCCAAATTCAGCAAAATTACATTTCAAACTAGTCACAACACATTACATTGCATCTAGACATATGGTTCTGTTGTTAATATTTCGGTCTCTCATGTGGTATGACGTCATAGAACTGTATCTTCAACTTATGAACTGCATCTGCTATTCCGTAACTGATATCGTTGCATAGCAATATTCTATGTCAACATAACAAAATATTATCTTTGATTGTGAATATCTTTGTTAAAATGTCCATATAACTATTCTGAAGATGGCTCATGTGAGCCGAAAGCTTAGATCAAAGACCAACTTTATAAAAAAATATCCAAATGTTGGACAATTTTTGTTTTTATTTTCACTCGAAATTAAAGCAAACATACAAACATTAGAATGGCTCATGACCAGACTTAATAGACATTCATTATCTGTTATATTTAACAATATATCTAATAGCAGTTATAAATAAATTTTGGAGTACACTAACATACCTTAGTTTTTGCCCAGCAGTGACAGAATAGACAGTGGATTAACAAATAAATCTCTTAATTCCATTAATGGAGGGATTGAAAGTTCATTTATATCATATAATGTTATGGGAGTTCAAACAAGGGAATAATACTATGAAGACATCTAGAAAAATATGTAGTGGTTATGGTTAAGGAGTCATAATTGAACAGCAAGTATGAAATTGATTTGCAAAGTTTCTTACTGGAGAAACATTGTTGGAAGATGAACCCAGCCCAGGCTGTTCATTTGGACTTTGAGGATGAAGCTCTAAAGTAGGTACCTCCAAAAAGTTTCTAAAAAAGACCATGCCATGATGAAAAAATGCCCCAAACTTGATAAAAACAAAGTTTTATTGTCAACATGTTTATATTATTATTAAGAGGAAAAGTGAAAGTATTTTTTTATTAAATTTTTTAAATCACTGTATTACATTCAAAATTTTGGTTAAAAATCTTCTTTTTCTTACATCAGCAGGTGGGCCAAAGATTAGTATCAGAATTTTTAGCTTTTTTTTTTTGGCATTAAGAACATTGTTTTGGTAATTCTTGCAAAAATTAAATAATTGTCAGGTTTTAATAAAATTTTCAGGACTTATTCACAAATGAATGAAATAATTTTTGAAATTTCTTATTTTTAGAAAATCTTGGTAAAAATATATATTTTTTTTTTGCATCTATTACCCCAACTAAATTAATTTTATGAAATTATGAGAAATTAAAATTTCAGCTTTTTCCTATTTATATTAGTTAAAAGCAGGATTCCTTGGAGAATTTAAATCCTCATTTTGTTTTTGTCAAACAGAAACACCATTTACTAAAAATCTGCTCTTTACAAATTGATATTTTTCACACTCTTTCTCACTCACTGTTTAATTTCCTCCCCAAACACAGGCCATAAACCTGAGAGGGTAGCAGAGTGTAAGCACCCAATGGAAAACTTGTGGGCCAATATTAACAAAGAAAAATTTTTTTTTACAAGTTGATATTTTTCACACTCTTTCCTGCTCATTGTTTGACTTCCTCCCCAAACACAGGCCATAAATCTGGGAGGGTAGTGGGATGTAAGCATTGAGAGATAATCCCTCTTCTTTATAGGTATCAACTTCCAAAATTTGAAACTTCTGGCCAGTTGGAAGGATTCTTTCTACATAGGTTATTTTATTTTTAATTTTTATTTTATTTTAATTTTTTTCTGCTTTTTTGCTTCATCATACTTATTATAAAACCCAGGTTGTGTGTGTGTGTGTCTGTATGTTTATATATTGGATTGGATTTCCTACATTTTTCAACCGATTTCAACAAAACTTCACAGGACTACGTAAAATTACCTTGTGGTGATTCTGACAGCACCAAAAATTGAAAAACACAATTGTTTTTGCACGAAATCAATTTCAGGTTTAACAAATTTTCATATTGATTTAAAAAAAAAAAAGCTGTCCTTCATTACTGTTCTTTTATTCATGGATTGTTTTGATTTTCATATCAAAAATAGTTTAGGAATATTGTCTTATATAGTGCAGAAAAGTGTTTGAAATTTGCATTTTATTTGGCCTTCAACAAGTTGGCATATATTTGTAAAACTTTCCTTAATTATAACAAGCCAATTTATGAATGAAATGTTCATTTAAAATTTTTGTTTCAAAGATTTCAAGTAGTGACTATATCTTATTTTACGATGCAACAGCGAGCAGGTGAAGCCTGCTAGTAATATATAATATCTCTCTCTATAGAACATATATATTATATATATAACATACAATATCTATATATATAATATATTTATATATATGTAAAATTAATTCCTTTAGATAATATGTGCAAGTAACCACTCTTTGTCTGATGAAGGTCAAAACATCTGAAAC